TTCAGATTCTTACATTATTAAAAAAAAAGAAAAAGAAAAGAGAGTACCTGTCTCTGGGGAATGCTGGTTCATTCGCCTTAATTTGCACATGGAGCAGATGTGCTGGGTATTCGGTTCTCAAAAAAGTGTTAGTCGTACTTTTTAAAAATGATGTTCTTAATTTTTACAGTGTCTTAAATAAACTACAAGAAGAAACATTGATTTAGAGACATTAAACTAATTTTTATGAAAACCAAATACACACATATGCAACAAAATGCATAGGATGATCACATAGCATACCAGAGAAATCAGATCTACCATTCAGTCATCAAACTGTGAGAGAAATAAGGAAAGAGAACTGAAGACCCGTCTCCCCCAAACCGGGCTGCTCTCGAAAGTTCACAAATGAAACTCACCATGTAAAGGCTGGGTCTCCCTCAACAGAAATAAACCAAGAGATCGCTCCTAACAGTGTCACCGAAGAGTGTGCGGGCTCCCAGAATTCCCGTCAAGGTGACCCATGTGTAATCTCAGTGAACGCAGGGCTGGAAGATGACTGCAAATTAGAAAACTGAAACTGAATCAATTGAAGTGTATCTTGTGTGAGAAAGCCTGTGTGAATGGAATGGGGATGGATGCCTGGGACCCGGGAGGGCAGCTCAAGGGCTCAGGGCCCCACGGTGCTGTTCCGGCACCGCCCGTAGGAGACGTGGACTAGACATGGGGATCACCAGCTTCCACTCACGAGAGAGCCCCTCCCTCCCTGGAGGACAGGAGAGCCCGCAGCTTGCAGCAAAAGCTTCGATTCCAACCCTGGCCTCTCCCCTCCTGAACGATGCCCCCGGAGAAGTTACATCACCTCTGTCAACCGCAGTTTCCCCTCCTGTGCAAGGCAGGGACTGATTCCAATGCTGTCATAGGATTGTTCCAGAGGTGACATGAGATTGTGTGCCCAACTCTCATCTGATGCTTACATAGCCAGGGAAAGGCAAGAGGGACAGCTTCCATCCTTGGCCCCAGGGACATGAGCTGCTCAGCTGGACCCCATAGCCATCCCTTAGTAGATCTACCCTTAGTAGATCCTAAGAATGGTAGCCCTGCGCTCCAGCAGTGCCTCTAACTCATGGATCCTTTTCTTGAGGAAGAACTCCTGTAAAATGCAACTGTGGTTTTATTTTATGTTTTTAAATAGTTTTCTTTTTTTAAGTTTTTTTTTTAATAGAGGTACTAGGAATTGAACCCAGGACATCGTGTATGCCAATAAGCACATGTTCTACCACTGAGCTATACCCTCCCCATTTTTATTTATTTATTTTTCCCTCAAGGGACGCACCAAGGATTGAACCTGGGATCTCGTGCATGCTAAGCATGCACTCTGCCACTGAGCTATACCTTCCCCCCGGCAAGTGTGGTTTTAAATAGCATCATATTGCCCACTCTAACGTGTTAAATATTTGGGAATTTGGACCCTACCTATAAGAGACAGAGACTTCTTGAAAGGTTTTAAGCAATAAAGTCTGACTGTCGGTCTGTGTTTCTGTGTATGTCTCTGGGGTGTGGGCACAAGTAAGAAGGAGGAGGGTGGGGTGAGGATGAGCAGCAGGGGGCCAGGTTAGGTCCCTGTTGCTGAGGCTCTGGGCCTCAAAATAAGACTGAGGCCGAGAGGATGAGGCTAAAGCTGTTGAACAGAGACATCAAGAAAGGGAGGTTGGTGGACGTTGTTGGTCACGAATGATGGAGGAAGTGAGGAGAAGAGGAGAAATGGAGCATTGCAGGTGTGCAGCCTCAGCAGCCAGGAGCCCGGGGCCAGGGCATCCTCAGAAAGGAGTAACACAGACAGGTGGGGGCATCCATCCACCTTCCAGAACGTGGAAGGTGGAGGGGGTTTGAGCATGTTAGTTACAGATGACTACTGACACCCAAAGGGGATGATTCATAGTGTTACCGAAGGCAAGTTCCCGTGCGTGAGGCCAAGCAAACACTTCTGTACTTATAAAGTCCTTGCAGAGCGTTCCAAAGGAAGACAGAGTCTGGGGAGAGTTTGCTCTTGAGAAGGCAAGTTCAAACAAAAGCCAAAGGAAAAACGAGCGTATAGACCACCAACTCTGTAGCTGTAGACTCCCCACCTATCCATAGCTACTACCCTAATGTGTGTCACTTTTTGATGCCACTACCCCCCACATATTCTACCCATTAATGCTTTGAAATATTTGAATCAACCTTATCACTCACACACTGAATTAAATCCAATCTGTCCTAAGTGCATAGGTCAATTTGCAAATTCCCTTGATGCCTGCAGGCTGAACACAGCCACTACCTGTGGTTTACCGGCCAGAGCAGTGATGGTGCCCACCCTAGTTTTTTGGGGGTTTTGTTTGTTTGTTTGTTTTTTAATAATTTTAAATCCATCTCCAAGATTTAAAAATCAAGAAGTTTTGTGTTAATATTCCAGTCTGGCCCACTGGTCTGACATTCGTGAATATTGAAATTACCTGATATGAATGGATGCCTGCCTCCTTTAGATGGAACACCTACTTTCTACCAGTCTTCCTCTGGTTCTTTCTCTTTTTCCCTCTTTCCCCTCCCCGACCCTGAAGCTGTGTGTCAGGTTCCATTTTTCATCTAACACAAAAGTGGCTTCACTTATTTGTATTACTCTCCCGGCCCCTGTAGGCATTTGAGTTTGTATCTGTTTCTATCATGTTAAGCAACTTTGAAGAGCAGCCTCCTTTGTGTAGTTTTTATATAAAAAGTATACTTGGTAATATGCTTTGCATCATCAGATTGAAGATGGAGTTCCTTTCCTCTGTTACGTGGAACAGATTTTTATTCTTAGAGTGCTTCATGTATATTGCCACCATTTGACACAAAGACATCAAATTGATGGACACAAGGTGTCACAGTGTGTGAGGGAGACCATCGTCAGCATTGATGGACAGACTTCCGAATCTACCATTTTCAACCTGAAAATGAAAACAAAAAACTGGAGGGAAATAAAATCCTATAGTAATGTGAACTTTCTTCCTGAGAGGATATGGATTTGATCTTTATTCCACTTTGGTTACGTGAAATTGGCTTTGCAATTTTGCTTGTAAAGATAACAGAAGACTCATATTTTATTCTGTGTCCATGTAACAGTCATAGATGTGCTTTCAGATGGAATCAGAAGTCTTACTCTAGATCCTTTGACTGGCCTCCAAATACAGGTCCTCAAATTATAGACAATGGATAATGTGTTTCTTCACATTTTTGGTTAATGTTTCTATCTGTAAGGATATGTGTACAGGTGAATGTTTGATTTTTCCATAACCAAGATGAATTATTATTTTTTTTTTGTTTTCATAAGTCTCGTGAGTTGGGTTACCTAAATCTTAACATTTAATTTTCCACTATGTTCTATGCAGGACGAAGTTTCTGAGACACAATCATAGCTGGATGTATAAAAGGATGACTTGCCTGAGGCTGCAGAGTGGTTCAGGGACAAAGATGAGAACTAAAATGTGTGTTAACACTACCATTTTTGAGCATTGAGCATAAACCAGGCACCATGCTAAGTGACTATATAATCTCATTTAATCACCTCTATAACTCTGTGATCTAGACATTGCCTGCATTTTAAAACTAAAGAGACTGGAGTCTCAGAAATGAAATGATTTGCCCAAGCTAACCCAAGTAGAAACTGGTGATCTGGGATTTCAGAACCAGTCGTGTGCTTCGAAAGCTATGTCCCTAAAGCACTTCAACACACGACTTGGTCCTTGCCGTATCTCCCTAATTAATCATCTGGGATATTGTTTTCTTTGTCTCTAAACTCAGAGCCCTAAATAATATGTAAATGACAATGAAATAGAACGTTGATTTTGAGTGTTTTTTTGAGCGTGGTGTTGACATCTTTGTGACTATGGAGAGCGAACCAATATGAATTTGCTCCTTTGGGCCTTTGTTATTACTGCTGCATCATATATTTCTTCCTGATTGTTGGTGCCCGGTCCCAATTCCCAGGTACAGACAAGACGACCCCTCCTGTGCTTCCCGGGGGCTGTGTGGGTGGGGAGTCCACTCCACTTGTGTGTGACTGTCAGGCTGCCTCATACCATCCAGCCCAGCTCAGATTACCATGTATTCATGGCATTATTGTTAAATTTAGGATGGTATGTGACCTTCCCCTCTGCCGCATGGCCACAGGTAATTTATCTCTGAGCCTCAGTTTCCTCATTTGTGAGTGGAAATTACAGGCACCCACGGCACAGGGGTGTTACTTATCCACTAGGATATTTCTGTCTCAAAATAGTTACACATTCATTCTATGTTAGTTTCTTACCTACATTCTTTCACTCTCAGTTATATGGTATGTCCTTACCACGAGTTCAAAAAATAGGAAAAAACTTAAAAAAAGGGAAAAAAAAAACAACGAATCGCTCAACTCCATTTTCATTTTCTTGTCAAAGGGTGACTAGTCAGTTTCCTATTTGTATAATTAAGAAAGACAAGGCTGGAGTCATTAACTACAAACATCTTGAAAACATCAAACAGAATAAAAAGGAATAAAGCACCTACAGTTAAAAGGAAATGAGAGTCGTCCTAGGCTGTTGAGAACCTGTTGGCGGGTAGCTGCGACAAGCCCCCGGAGGGATCTTAAATGGGATTTGTGATGCCTGTTTCAGGTTAGTTACTGAGGTAGCCGATCAGTTCCTGGAAAAAGAGGCATGTTTAATGTTACATCAGCACTGCGATGGGCAGGAGGGGTGCTCCTAACTACAACAAACAGCAGCCAGCTCTGTAAACTATCTGCATTTCTGGAAAGACTTAGGGAAGATGTAACATCCACTTGTTTTTGGAAGCAGCCATGGGGTTTGTAATTGGCATCCAGACTTTTACACGTACTTCTGAGATGAAACGCCTCCTGTTTCTCCCCTCCCTGCCCCCTCCCACATCACTTTTGAAAAGGGGAGTCTTGGTGAAGAGTCCCTGGATTTTCTACATTTTCTCCTCTTTGTTCTTTCATTTATGTTTTGCAGGACAAATGATACTGGCTTTCTTTCCTTCAAAGACCACTTGCCTGTCACTCAGATAGTTATCACGGATACCAACAGATCAAACTCAGAAGCTGCCTGGAGAATTGGTCCCTTGCGTTGCTATGGTGACCGTGAGTGTTAAATTGAAAGAAGCTTTCTCTCTGCATTGCATAAGCACAAGGTGTTTCATTCCCTTTTCCCTGCAGTGTCCCCCAGTCTTGAAAATTATCCACATGCCCGATACTTTCCTATACCCTATTCTGAAGCAATGAACCATGCTTAAGGGTTTTTTCATTTGCAGGACACTTCTGGAACGCGGTATCATTCTATACAGAAGCCTCTTACCTCCACTTCCCAACCTTCCACGCAGAATACAGTGCTGACATTTCCTTCTTTTTTAAGACCACGGCTTTATCTGGAGTTTTCCTAGAAAACCTTGGCATTAAAGACTTCATCCGACTCGAAATAAGCTGTAAGTGCTCTCACTTATGAATTGGACGTAACTGGTCAACAGAAGTTTTAGTCTTATCTTTGCCACCAACAACTAGGACTATTAACTTGGTCCCCCTGGGCGTCTGTAAAATTAGCAATGATTATTTCTAGTTCCTTCCCATACTTTTTGTTTCCCTATTACCTGACAGTGTTTAATCAGCCATTCTCTCTTCAAAATAGTACGTTCCCAAAATTCCCACAGATAATTCTTTATGGTGTCCTTTATCTGACCCATGGGTGTTTCTCACCTATTCCTTTAAAGTTCCACACCATGAAACTTTTTCACTGCAAAGCTGAAAATGTTAGTATTCTGTATTCTACTCACATTTGGGGTCAGTGTTTTTGTTAGACATTTGCTCTGCAATGATCTCTTGATTTATATGCCATCACTAGGAGTATGTGACTTACCCGATCAGGATTTCCATTGTTTCCCAACCACTTCACCGTGGGCATTGGTGTATATAGCGAATTTGATGCCAGGACATGGATCATTTTTCACATCCCATCTCCTCTATACAAGTTACATTCAGTAATAATCATAAAGACAAATGTAAAATAATAGACATACGGATGAGGAAGTTTTCTGTTAATGAACTTTTATATGTAATCATGCCAATAAAACTATTCCAGTACAAAAAAGAAAAGACAATATAATATATAAATAATTTTCATTACATTAATTAATTTTTTATAAAAAATAATCTCATATTGATTTGTTTCAGCAATAGTAGTAACGTTAAGTTTTCTGCTCCTTACGTGGGAAGGTATAGCTTAGTGGTAGAGTGTGCACTTAGCATGCATGAGGTCCTGGGTTCAATCCCCAGCACATCCATTAAAAAAATAAATAAACCTAATCACCTCCCCCCTACCAAAAAAAAAAAAAAAGATTTCTGCCCCTTAGACTTTATTACTACAAATTTGTGAATGACTTCATCAAAATGGATTTTCTCTGCATGTTCATGTTTGAAGGAGAGTATAATCAGATTTAGCCATTTATCTTCTCTCATGTGGATCAAAGGATACTTTTTAACTAACTTTAAGTTTAAAATATTTTTCACATTAAGCAACAGATATATACATTTTAGGAGATATTTTAAACTTAAGTTTGAGTTTGGTAAAGATTCATAAAAATCCCATTTTATATTAAATTCCAGGAATTAACAGTACTTCCTATCTGGTTTTTTTTTTTTCAGGATAAATCCTACCAACTTTCAAATATCTCTAAAATTAAAAAAAAAATCCACTGAACTATTTTTACCAGAAAATGCATTGTGAATTAGTATTCAATTTGGTAAAACTTCACCAAGTTCCTAAGGGTTTGGAGTTGCTTAAGTTCTCTTTGGGAGGAATTTGTGTCCACAACCCCTATCATACCATATACTCATGTGTTTCAACAATAAATTTGAGTTAAACAATGATAGTACAGTAGTTGTAAAAATGAAAAACCAGAACTTGAATTCTTATTCTTAAAAACAAACACATATATTCGTGTCTGCATGTTTAGAAGCCAAGCCGATGGTGTAGAAGTTTTCTCTACTAACTTCCCTTTTAAATATAATATTTATCAGTTGTAGGTAATAAAATGTATTATTTGACACTTACATATACATTATTAAAAATTAATACTAACATCAGCCTTTGTTAGAACTTAGACCAACAAAGGATTTTTGTTTGTTTGTTTTTGTTTTGTTTTGTTTTTTGGTGGAGGGATGTTTTATTGCTGACATCGTTTAGAATAACTGCTATGTGGCAATGATAATAATAATTTTAAAAATACAGATCTACTTTTAGCTGCTTTTCTAAGTTTTCAGACTCCCTGCCCTCAGTGTGCCCCCTGATTTCTTACACACAGGGTGGACTGCCCCCATCACCTTGTCCTTGTTAAGCCCATGACCATGAAACCTTGTGCTTGCCATTTGTCTCTTTTATCTGGTTCTAAACGGATGTTTTCTGCGGTTTCATGGAGGCAGTTGACCGTTTTACAAGACTAAGGTGATGGCACGAAATATCCTTGAAAGCATAAGTAATGTCTTAGCAACAGAAACTGGGAAATTTGAGAACTCCAGGGAGGGAGATAGAAGTACTGTCTGGAGGAGCTGGCTGAGGTGTTGGTACAAGTCTCCCGCAAAACACAAAGGAGCTAAGTGTCTCCTCTTCGGTCACAACACAAGACACACAGCAGAAGAGATCTCTTTAACTGGTAGTTTTAACTTCCTTTTCCTCCAAGGATTTAGACTATTAATGGGAGGAAACGCTCCTGGCTTTAGTGTGAAATGAGACCCCTCACACCTAACTTGGCCAGGCTGAAAAGGTGGAGTTGAATGCCAACCATTTCCTACTATGGACATCATAACCTCAATGCAAATTTAATAAAAACCAGGCCCTAAAGCCTTTTGTTTCATTAAAGCAGCAGCAAATGTCATGGTGTGTTATCATAAGCAATGAGCGATGATTTAGTGTTAATTACATTTCAGTGTCTGATTGGTTTGTACTTCCGGGTACTAGATTTTCTCCTTCAGCTTGTACAATATTTGAAATGCAAGTGCTTTGAAATCTGATAAAAAATTAAAATCCAGTGATATAATTGTTTGGTGTACCCTTTTTCATCAGATCTGAGAATATATACTATTTGAAAACAAGAAGATTTTATATACTTTTTTTTTAAAGTACAAGGCCTCATGTTTTCTAAAATGTTTTGATTTATTATTATAATTTAAAAGGAAAAACAAACAAATGGGGAGATCCTGCATTTTTTCATTAATAGCCACAGGATGTAGGATGGAATTTTCACCCTAAAGGGTTCACAGCAAGATTTCTTTACAGATCCACTTCTTAGAAAGAAAATTAACTTCACGCAGATGTGGTAGCTCAGAGTAAACTTCTCCCTCACTCCCGAGGAGTGTTGCCTTGTAACTGTTTGAACAGAAGTTTTCAAAATTGATATATCCAAGTTGTTGGATAGAGAACTAGAAATTTCCATAAAATTCTAAATCTATTTCCTTCTGGGTCATTTCCCACTAAGATGTTTGAATTCTGCAACCTTGAGATTAGCCAATATGCTCGAAAGGCAAGATGTTTCACTATGTCCTTAAATCTTAGCAGTTGTGTTTCAAATGAGATTGAGAAAAATTAGCTATTTGGCAACTATCTCACGATGGCTGTGCAAATAGAAATAGGTATTTTAGAGTGGTTGAGAAGAACAGAAGGAAGAGGCTGTTGAGATCAGTATGGCATAATGGAAAGGAGCTGTTTTCTTGAACCCAATATGTTGCAAATTTCTGTTTCTCTAATTGTGAGCAAGTTCTTCACCCATTCGGTGCTTAGTTATGCAAAATGGAATTGGTGACACCCAGATGCCAATCAGGTGTACTTGGCTGCCATTGAAGGAAAACTCAACCTGAACTGATAGACACAAGGATGGAAATTCAGTGGTATTGGGACATGTGACTAAGTCCATAATTGGTGAGGCACTCTATTTCTGGTTGGATTCAGCAGTTGAACAATGTTGTCAGTGGTCCACTTTACTTCTTTCCCAGCTCTGCCTTCTGAATATCTACTTCAGTCAAAGCTAGCTCTCCCTCCAGAGAGAGCTACATTTCAGCTGGTGGGAAAACACTTCTTTGCCTCCTGGCCACACAGTCCTCCTGATGTGCAACTCATCTGGCCACCTGTGAACTCATGCCTCTAGCCAGGGAAGTTGAGATTGCCGATTGGTTTTGCCAGAGGTCACTTTTACACTGGGCGGGGGTGCTGGCTGTCCCTAAAGCCCGTAGTGAAGAAAAATAATCTTCCCTCTAAATGTCTGAATTCTTGGCTGAGAGCTTGTACTAAAAGACACATTGATAAGAGAAAAACAAGCATAAGTTTGTTAACAATATACACCTCATGTCTGCATGGAAGATACACAGGGGAAAATGAGGAACTCAAAGAGGTGGCATGGAACTCCAGCTTATGTAGCATCTTAAATTCAGAACAGTCAGTTTATGGAGAAATGATAAGTTAAAGTTCAGCAGTAACAGCTCCCAGCGGCAAAGATAAAGGCTACTGCTTGTTATACAGTTTCCTCTGGTACCACCTCCAGGCTGACAGGGTCTAAAGTTGTCCCAGGTGATTAATTGTTGATAATGGTAAAGAGGGGAAGAAGAATGGAGGAGCATCTATATTTATATTTAGATCTATATCTATATGAGTGAGAGAGAGAGAGAAATTTGAGTTCTGGTTTTCAGAGGTATCATATCAATAGTATTATCAAATGTGCTGGCAACTCGAAGATACAATCCTCAGATCCTCAGAGAACAGTAAAAATTAATGCTAATGATAATTATATTTGTACTAAATCGTTGAGTATTTACTGTGAATAGAGACAGTCCTAAATGCTTTATCTTCATCATTTAACTTTGTTTTCAAATAGTCCTGTCTATAAACATCAGGTTATTATGGTATGATTTTCATTGTTCAACTCACAGTCCAATACAAGATGAGGCAGGTGAGCCCAGAGGGTAATAACACACCCAGAGTCATGCAGCGAGATTTGGAATGCAGGATTTAATTCTCTGTTCAACAGAAGAATTCCCTACTCTGCAAAACTGCCTCAAGAACCAAGGATTTTAGAACTCAAGAAAGTAGAATTATTTTCCTCCATATAATAAGGTGTTGGACATTCAGGATGTCCTGACAATTTTATGCAAAACGTGTGTGTGTGTGTGTGTGTGTGTGTGTTTTCTGGAGATAGGAGCCCCAGTTGTCACCAGATCCTCAAAAAGTCCTTGTCTCAAAAAATATTTTGTTTAGTTTACATATTTCATTTTACAGATGAATACATTGGAGGTCAGAGAGGTTAAGAGATTATATTAAAGACTTGCATCTTCTTCCTTGTTCCATAGTGGTCCCTGAGGTCTCTCCCCTGCCTGACCTGCTGGGGGCTGAGGACACAGAGATGGTGTCACAGTTCAAGGAAGCCTCTCCTTAGAAGGCATCTTCCCACCTCCTAGGAGTTCTTGGGGTTCATACTTATGCGTATAGAACTTTCCTCCACTGGTCACTTGCCTTCTTGGTCAGTCTTCTCAAAAGTATACTGAGATTCCATTTTTTTTCTCACTCATCTCTGCATTCTCAGTGCCTAGCACAGGACATGGCTTGATTTAAAAAAAAAAAAAACCAAAAGTCTAAGGTAACTTCTTAGCTTTGTCCTGAACCATACAGTGTAAATGATGTCAGACGTTGAGGGAAGGAGAGAGGCAGGAGGGTACATTTACGATGGAGCTGATGCAGCCACAGAGCTTCCAGCTCTCCCAGTAGGGCCATCGGGCTGCCTCCACATCTTCCCCTCACTACTGAGAGCTAGTTTGCCTATGCCTCAGGCCACAAAGTCACTAGCCAATGGTGGAGGTATCACCATTTACTAATTTTTTTTCATTCAATCGTTTCCAGGCACCTACATTACACATTCTAGCTTTGATTGCCAGTGGGGACTGCACATAGGTTTTGGAAATAGACATAGGTTTTGTCATAGGAAGAATCAGTTCAAAAGTGAGCTCCAGACACGCATCACCTGGATTTAAATCTTGACTGTGCCCTCTCTGGGTTGGAGCAACATATCAGCTCTCTGTGGCTCAGTTCTCTCACCGGTAAAACATTGCCTTTCTCTTAGGATGGTCATGAGATTTAAGTGAGCTGATTGATGAAAAATGCTTAGCAGAGTGCCTGGCTCTGGTAAGCACTCAATAAATGTTAGCTATTAGTATTGCATTTCACTGATTCTGCTTCAGTTTTAAGAGGAATAGTTTGAACATAGTAGTTCAAATTTAATAGTAAATGTTAAATAATAATCATTTAAAAAGATTTTTAAGGAAACTAATACCTTGGTATAAAACTAAAAAAAAAATCCAAAATTGCATTTAGTATGTGTAATGTAACATTTTAATGAATGAACCTTTAGATTCCTTTATGCATAGTTCATTCCTAGGTTCTGGGTATCCAATAAATGAGGTGTTCATCTAGAGTTTGCAGATTTATTGAGGAGACAGACCATAAACAGGTCATTATACAACAGAGATGAGTGTTAAAGCAGAGACAAGCACAGATGGGAAACCAACGTGGAGGCGGAGGTGACAAAGGGTGGCGGGTCCAGCAAGCCCTTCCCAAAGATGTGCTGTCTGCGTGGAACTTAATATCCACAGGACCAGCTTTCAGAAAGGCTTTTAGCAAAATCCTTAGCATTCCTTCCTCCAGCTCTCACCCATCTTCCCCTGTTTTTTAGAAGTAAATTTAGGTTGAATCTCTCAGTAGCTGTTTATTTGGTCTCAAGATGTGCAGGCTGCAAGGTAGCATCAGGGGCCTGATAAGAAACAGAAAATGGCTCATAGGGCCAATTTCACACTTATTTACTCTTTTCATTGCTGTATCCAATTTGTTCCCTTCAATTCTGGTTCTTTTAATTCATGTGTTTATGAGCCAAAGACAATTTACCTGGGTGGGTGAACCGTGTTGCTATGCTAATAATAGTAAAAGCGCTCATTGTTGAGAACATCCTACGTACCAGGCATAGTTCTAAGAACTTGATCAGGATTAATTTGTAAACAATCTCACAGTTAGGTATAGTTTTTATTCCCATTTTACAAATGAGAAAACCAAGAGGTGACAAGATAAAAAATTGCCTTAGGTCACAGTGGGTCCACAGTCGATGTCTCAAACCCAAGTGTAAGACCTCTATCTTACTGACTCCCTTCAAGGTCAGGGTTTGCATTCCCCAGAATGCGAATCAATTCAAACTCTCAGTTATTTGAAATTTCACATACTGGGGGCTTCTTATACCCAGATCGGCTTCCTGTTAGATTTTAAAGGCTGAGCAGGCAGTGATCCAGGGTAATGTTTGACCTTTAGTATTGCTGACAATTCAGATCTGTCCATTGATGACTTTGTCAAATAAATACCTATGTCCTGGTTGGGAAGTAACAGAGAGGGGGCATCACAAGGTCCTGAGAAGGAAGGGAAGGCCTAGAACAGGAAAGCTCCAGTCTTTGAAAGGGAACTGTCTTCTCTTCAACTTCAGTTTGTAATTTACCTCTCTACAATCTTCAGATGTAGAATTCTTACATAATAATGGAAACTACATGAAGATGAACTAAAGTAGAGAAAAATGATGAAGATTCTGCTTACTACCTGGGAAAGTTAGAGCGAATATTTACACTTCTCTGAACTTTCATTTTCTCGCCCATCAAATAGCAATAAAAATAGTGCCTTTCTCTTTGAGTTGTTTTGAGGATAAAAATGAGAATATCTGTGGTCAGTGCTTAGTACAGTGCTTAGCAGAGTTCATTGTACCTACTGTGTGGCTGTTACTTCTCTCTCTCTCGGTGGTCATAGCATCCCTGCCACCACCACCACTGCCACCAAAATCACCATCACTA